CAAATTAGATGTGAATGTAACAAAAAATATATTGGCCAAACTAAACCTAGTTTAAAATACCATATTAATAAACAAAAAAGGTTATGTACATAGTAACAACATGTTAATTTCCCCGCTGGCCGAACATGTTGTAGAAGCAGGTCACTCAATACAGTGGCATAAAACAATAATTTTAAATGAACCCAATGCAGTAAATGAGTTCAATATCAGAGAATCTATTGAAATTATGTGTTGTAAATTAAATAATCATCTGTTAGATAGAGATGAAGGGTTGGCTAGCGATAGTACTGAATTTTGGAGAGAAATATTGACTTCATATGTGCAGTATTCATGTCACCTCGGTGAATTACACTGAGGCCAACCATTCTTGTATATAAAAAAAAACGCTGTTCGCATACATTTTTACTCCTGATTATGGTAGCGAAAGCTACCGAAATATGTAGAGTAATTTTTAATTTTTAAAAATTTTATTTTGTAATGTAAACGTTGTTTTGTCTATATTTTTAAATTCAGCTAGGCTTGGTATTATTTTCACCATATAATTTTGAAAAACCCCACCCAATGAAAGAATAATGTTACGATATTACAATGGTATCGTAAACTCGTACAACTGTAGAGGATTGAACCAAGTAACATGTGTGGGGACAAACGGTTAAACAAGATACATTTCTGGCACTCCACAGGTGAGGAATGTTGTCCTTGTCAGTTATATGACATTACTGATTCAACTAAGTTAGATGAGATTTAGGCAGTTTTGAATATCAATTTGAATTATACAGTCAACTTGTAAATAATTAAGTCTTGAGGGAGTAGAGCCAGCCCGATAAGTTCACAGTTCCTGTAAAGGGGACTGTTCAGCTTTCATAAAGTGAAGTACACACTATTGATTAGAGTTATGTTAAAAATAGATTGTCATCATATAGTGGATCTGTCCAATTTACTTATTTGAGGAACCAGTTTACTTGGAGATTTTTTTTTTATATATTTACTAGCTGGCTTACTCGTCATATTATAATATGTTTTCTAGTATTTAACGAAAACATTTTTGTGTATATTTGGTCATCTCTTGTAAGTTGTTCTTGATTATAATTTTGACTTATGTATATTTTTATGTTATATTCAAACCTTCTTCTTGATAAAACCTTATAGATTGAATCATGCTAAAAAAAAACTGGTTCACAGAAGAAATATTCCTACATCGTCACATGTCTTACCCCGCTATTTATTAATTATGATGGTTAAGGCAATAAATTATATTGTGAAGGACAAATTCACGAAATACTTCTATAAATTTGTGACTACGTTTTTAAAAATCTCTTACGAAAGGTGAAAAAACATCAATAATAATGTATTTTAGCGTTATCTATTGGGTTGAAATATATTTAAGTTTTTTGACACATACAGTCACTGGTGTGTATTATGTAATTATCCCTTAATTAATCTATAATTGATTCGTATATTTCCGAATACTCAAAGAGCCTGTTGTAAATATGATAATAAATATAAATAATAAATAAATATCAACATAAAATCCTGACTGGACTGGGATTTGAGCTCGAGATTTCCACATGATAGTCGAGCGCTATAACCACTGTGAGACCAGTCTTCATAATTCAATGTTTACGAGTAATTCAAATCCCCAATGTCATTATGTTTTTTTTTTACTATGTTGTAATATCTTCCCTAAAAATGATAAATTAATGATTTAAAAAGTTACAAAAATCTGAGATATGAACTTCAGATTTCTGTTTGAAACAACCCTTTAAACCAATTTTAACGTTACTAACAGAAAATCGAGCGTTATCGACAAAGGAAGCGTTACGAACAGAGAGTAGCATTCATTATACAGATGAATGTAGAAACAAATTCTCTCTAACCTCATGTTAATTTGATCTAGTAAATTGTCTTTCGTTTTTTAAACCACTTTAGAGTATTACCTACAATATGTCTAGTCTTCTGTTGTCGGTTGATAAGCTATATGTTTATGGACTTACAATGCTAAAATTCGGTATTGGATTCCTGAAGTGGAAAGAGCGCAGATAGCCTATTGTGTAGCATTCCGCTAAAACCAAAATAACAATACCATGGTCTCTTTTTTAAGGGTTTGAAAGCCTCTACATCATTCATGGATTTTTTCTTTTCTTCACTGAAATTACACATTTTAGTGAGGAGAAGAAAAATTAACAATTAACATAATCTTTTCTTAATTAAACACCGCTACACCTATATAGTTAAAATCATGTGAACTTTTGACTCTTACTTTCCTCGAAAACACCCCTATATAGCTAGCTTTTATTATATTTAATATTGTTTGTAATTTACATAAATTACACAACAAAACTTTGTAGGAGGAGCAGCCTCGAGGTTCTTTTTTAAAAAACAACTGTGACTGGACAGTCAGAGATGATTTTAACAATAATCAAAGGCTGAATGCTACCATTAGATAATTATATTTTACAGGGTGCCCACCAAATAGATATAATACTGTGTATTTCGGAATATGCTACCCAAGTGTGACTACACGGTCGCTGGTTCTACACAAACCCCAATTTCATTTAATGTGGGTATGTATTTAATAAAAAGTATTAATTCGATTCAAAAATTTTCTGTTTTTGATTCAAATTAAAGACAGAAAAACAAAACAAAAGTATACCGTAGAAACTAATTGCGTACGCCATGTTGCTTTTTTTTTGTAGAACCAGCTTCCTGGTCGCTAAGACCGTTGTTACGGAAGTGACGTAATCACTTTTATAGCGTATAGCAAACGTACGTTGTAAAAGGTTTTCCTAGCGCAGGTTACTATGGTAACGTTAATCATTTCTGTAACCCACAGTTGTCATGCTGAGTTATTGGGTTGTGAGAAACAAAAACACCATAAACATAAAATAGGTGAGGTGTTCTGTGACAGTTGTGTGAAAAAATTATGCTTTAAGGAATTTCTTGAGTCATATAAGTGCACAGTTTTTCCTTTTTAATTTATCCGTATAACTTACAATAGAAAAACTGTTAGTTCAATCAGTCTTAGCAAAGAAACAATTTAATGTTTGTCATTGTATAGGTCCAACGTTATCCGGTAGTTGTCCTACGAGGAACCATGCTTTATGAAAATTGTTGCACGGTATGATACCGCTTATTTCTGCGTTTGTATACATAGATTATAACAGTAAATTAGTTTTGATAATTAAGGAGAATATATTTTAGTTTACCTTTAAGTAATTGAATTATATTGCCATCATATTTTCTTACATATCATGATTTATTAACCAGTAGTTAACCAAACCAACTTTTTTATGTATCATGTAACATTAAACTTTTAAAGTTACTAGGACTTTTTTGCTCTAAACTTTCTGTTTTGTTACTGACTCAGTAGCTGAATACTAGCATATGTTAATTGGAAACCAATTATAGTTGAAAACAAAGTCATTAGAGTTAAATTTAGGGTTGAGAAATCAATTTTCATCTATCGCTCGTTTTCTGGGAAGATTGTTAATAGTATTATTAGCTTATATTATACGTTTAAGACTTGTGTAAATCCACAATTTCTCTTTTTAACAGAAAGATGCTTCCACCCAGACAGAAGTTACTTTGTGTAAGAGAGCAAGAACAGAACAGAACTCAGAAAAAGAGACAGAACATAACTCCTCACAGCGTACATCACATTTTTATCAAACTTATAATATTCCAGAAAGATTTGACCATCCAGGTTAAAAATTTTCTTTGCTAGGGGTTTGGTAACATAAGGATTGTAGGTTTAACATGAGTTACAACAAATACTCACAGTGTGAATAGTGATTTGTTTTGTCTAAACTTGAGTTACAATAAATGTTTACAGTGTGAATAGTGATTTGTTTTGTCTAAACTTGAGTTACAATAAATATTTACAGTGTGAATAGTGATTTGTTTTGTCTAAACTCTAGTTACAATAAATGTTTACAGTGTGAATGGTGATTTGTTTTGTCTGAACTTGAGTTACAATAAATATTTACAGTGTGAATAGTGATTTGTTTTGTCTAAACTCTAGTTACAATAAATGTTTACAGTGTGAGTAGTG